TAAAGTGAGGCAACCTTTTTTTTAAAAAAATATTTTATTAGTTTATTAGGACCTTTCTATATTTATATGTGGTGCTGAGAATTGATCCCAGTGCCTCACACTTGCTAGGCAAGCGCTCTACCACTGAGCCACAATCCCAGCCCCAAAGTGAGACAATCTTGTTGAATTTTTTTTCCCAATCATTCTGATCTTTAATGACCATTGAGCTTTAGGCAATTGCTGCAGTGTTTAAGATTACATGAATACCTTAACTCAAAATATTGTACAATGTACATGAAATCTGAGTCTTAAGAGAGGAAAGATGAAGATGGGAGGCGTTAGTGGGAAGGAAAAGAGAAAAACGTATGGCATATGGCACAATGCTATGAAGGAAATCCTAGAGAGCCCTGGGGAGTGAAGAGGCTGTAGTTTGAAGATATGGGGCATGAGTGGCAGAAAGAATCATCATGGACAAGTAACACAGCACCAGGGTAAAATGGTGATATTCATTTTATTTACTCATCAATAATCTCTAAGAAAGGAGGGCCAGAGAGAGAAGAGGAGGTAGACTTAGAATGAGGGATTTGGAGAGAGCAAGGATTCCAGTATTGACAAACTGATATCTGGAACAAACCATGGATTTTACATGGATCCTTCTTACCTTGACATCGGCTTCTTCCCCAGATCCTTTATTTCCATTGTAGCTGGGTGGGGGAGCTACATTGAAAGGTGGGCAATATCTAGGTATAATGGATATTGCTGGTTGCCTCCCCAGCATAGATGCCCCCCAGCACACACCTGCCACCCCATTTGCAAGAACCATAGAATCTGGATAGGAATGAAATCTCATGCCTGGGTGGAAATGACTGATGGACCAAATCAGGACCAATTGTCACCATGATGAGTTTAGAGATGGACAGTACCCCTAACCTAAGGCAACAGCCACCTGACTTTTTGCTGGCCACCATGATTGGTTTAGGGATGAACGAAGTTGATATGATCAGAGAAAGACCCAGGCTTTTGTTCAATAGTGGGTCAAGAAACAGTCCTCCTGGAAGTATGGTAATGAAGGTAGTAATGAAAACCCTCTCCACACTGTGATGAAACCCTATGAATTCTATCATTTAAATACAACTGAAACCCATGCTCTCCTCTTCCTGTTCATGGCCATGCTTGGTTCAGACTCACATGATCCCTCTCTGCATCACTCTCCTACTTTCCACATCTATACTTCAGTCCCAGAATGTTCTCAAATGACAGACACGAACTTGCTACTTTCCTACAAAATTTTTTGATCCCTGATCAGTATAGAACAAGGCAAGCAGTATGAGCTTTGACAACATATCATTTTGAAATAGCTGTGTAACTTTGGGCAAGTTTTTTTTTCTTTATTAATTTTTTTAAAGTTGTAGATGGACATAATACCTTTATTTCATTTATTTTTATGTGGTGCTGAGGATTGAACCCAGTGCCTCTCACTTGCTAGATGAGCACTCTACCACTGAGCCACAACCCCAGTCATCTTTCCATCTTTACTTCTTTTTGTAATTTAGTTTCATTTTCTTAGCTATTTGGCTATTTCATGAATGGCCAACATCTTCCAGGCCCACATTATCCAGTTTAGTTAGTAACAGAGAGGACACTCTTGTGAATCTCAAATTCAAAATGTTCAGGAAAGGGTTTTGCTTATCTCATCTTACATTAGTACTCTCCTAGGGCCAATCAACAGGTATCAGGGCAAGAAGTATAAAGAGCAGCTTCCATGTAAACCCCACAATTACAGAGATGAAATCAGAAAGAACACTGAGCAGAAGCAAATGGTGGTATTCCGGAGAGATAAACCAACAGCTCCCCAGGACAGTGGCTGGGTGCAGAACAACGCAACTGCATTGCAAATTCTTGTCTCGTCCATCCATCACATCCTTGCTTTTGCGACCACTGCTTGCCTCAGTACTGCCTTCGTCTCTTGCTAGGCAGTGTCACCTCTCTGGGTAGATGCACACGTAATGGGCACAGAGTTTGACAAAGAGAAGTCACATCTGTAAAAAGAGAAAACTGCTCTTTATTGTAATGGACACAGCCTTGAGCCAGAGCTATGGGTCAGGGGTGTCCTTTGTCCTAGCCTTCACTTTTGTACAGTGCACAGACCGTCCAACCAGATGGGGTCCTGCCTTCAGGAGGCTTTCATGTGGCTTTCAGAAGCCCCTGGACTGGCTGCATCATATGACACACAGTTACGTACAAATGGTTCCCATGCATCACTAACCCTGCCTTCTGTTCACCTTAGATAGTTCACCATTACCAGGAGGTTGTATTTGCTTCTTGTCATGGAGCAGGACTGACTTCCCCTCCAGGCATTTCCCCCTTTCTCCTATTAGCCTTTTAAAAACCTCAGACCAATGACACTGCTTCTACAAATCCTTTAGCACACCCAGGCTATGCACAACCGCCTCCTCTGCATTTCCAGAAGCCCGTTCTTTATTCTCTACCACAGCACTGATCACATTATGTAGTAATTATCTGTTTGCTCATCAGTTCCTTTCCGCTCCCCTCCAGTGACTGTGGCTTGCCAGCTCTTCGTCCCCTGTCCAGGAATAAAGCGTGGCTTCTAGTAGACCTCAATACACACTTGTTAAACAGAATACTGAATGAATCAATGACGAAGAGGAAGGAGGGAGTAGGGGGAAAAGAGAAGGAGAACGCCACGTAGAAAAGTTCTCTGTTCTCACACAGACCTGTGTCTGTTTCAACACTTGCAATTCAAACAAAAGGAAAAAGGCAAGCAGAGATCCTATGAGATGCTTAGAAACAGAATTCCTTCCTGTTCCTCAAATCCCAACATTTGAGAACTGCCTTTGTTTTTTTTTTTTTTTTTTACCAATTGGGGCATCATCTTCTTTGCTCCTGGGAAAGCAAGTTTACTGCCCAGGGCTGTTTGGTCCTCCAGCTAAAGCAGTCAGGGGCTGACATGGGGGCATTCCAAATAACCCCTTCTCTACTCCACTTCCACACCAAGATGGGATTGGTCCCAGAGCTCTAAGTATTCCTGGCAGACCATTTGGCATTACTGTGGGCCAAAGGAATGAGGTCACTGTCACCAGTGAAGTCACTACTGAATGATTCATCCCACATCAGTTCCCCATTTGGAGTGCACTGACATTCCCAGAGCTTTTCCCACAGCACCCAGAGCCCAGGGTCCCTGTGAAATGAGCTTATATTTATAGAACAGAAAACTGAGGCCCAAAGAAGGGAAGTGACATTCTCAAGGTAACACTGTTAACTCATGTCAGAGCTGGGACCAAATTCAGCTCTTCTGGCTCAGTGCCCTCCAGAAGTTCCTTAACTTCTTCTGGTAGATCCTCCTTCTATATACTAGCCCTCAAAATGCTCGGGGCTGGGGATGTGGCTCAAGCGGTAGCGCGCTCGCCTGGCATGCGTGCGGCCCAGGTTCGATCCTCAGCACCACATACCAACAAAGATGTTGTGTCTGCCGATAACTAAAAAAATAAATAAATTAAAAAAAAAAAAACAAAAAAACCCCAAAATGCTGCCTGAGCAAATGGTACTGCAAACAAATAGTGGGACAAGCCCTCCTCTCTTTCCTTTTAAGAAAAAGTGGCAACACTTGAATTTGAGGCATTGTACTTTTCCTGTCATCCAATGCATACAAAGTATCTTCCAAACTCACGGCATTAAGGGCGGCATATACCTACTCTCAGATGCAACGGGTGGGATCTGGAGAGATGCTTAATATGGATCCACAAGAAATTTCCATTAACCCTTGAAGTCTTCCTGGGAGATTGGACATCAATTGGACATCAAATTGTGCATCAAGTCCTTGAGTGCCAAGAGTAGCTGGAAGCCTTTGGATAACCACATCACCTCTCTTAGCAGTTTACTCACCTAAAACCTAAGGGCCATGGTCCAAGTGACCTCCATGCTGCTTCTCAACACAGCATTTTCTAATGCTGTGAATCGATGAAAGGAAGCAATTTCCCTCAAGTCAGCAAGCTGGGGACAGAGGTGCGGTGCCGTGTCAGCGTGGAATGCTCTTACCTCCATTTCCCAATGTTCAAAGCAGCAGTGTTGGCTGGAGAACCAGACCTGGCCAGACGGGTGTTTTCTTGCTTTGCCAGACAGAGGGGCGGGGGATGCTGCTTGGATCACAGGCACGTGAGGGTATCACTTCTCAGACATCACAACAGAATCCCTAGGAGGGACACTTAAGACCTAAAGGGGGCCTAGGAGAATGTCACCTCCGGGGGGAGCACAGGTACATTTGCCGCTACCGGAGTCCCTTTTCTGGCTGATTGGGGGTGCTTCAACGGTTCGACACGCTGTCTCTCTCTTAGTCACCAGTTTTATAGAAAATGATTCAAGCTCGTGCTGTGAAAGGTGTGGGGGTGGTGGAGGAGACTAAGCAATAAACCAGGAGTCCCTGCCTTCCAGCTCAGGACCCCACCCCCACTCAGGACGCCTTCTAAATTATTTTTTAATCCTCTTGGCCTTTCTTTCTCTTTGATTTCTAGTTCCCTTGTGCACTTAGAGGCCGATAGGACGGCTCTTGCCTCCCGGGTGGACTTTCAATATATATGTATAATTTTGCATGACTCTTGCGTCATCGTTGAAGTCGTCGTGCTTCCCTGAGCGGCCTCCTAGCCGTCTCCCCGTCTCCCGGCACCGGGTCCTGTGGACGCTTCCCGGCGTTGCGGGCACTTTAGCGAGGAGCCCTCGGTTCCCAGCCAGCGCTTCCCTCCGGCCCCCTCCCCCGCCTCGCCCTCCTCCCTCTCCTCCCGGGCTCCTCCTCCTCGCCGCTCCGCGCCGTCCTCGCGGGGAGTCAAGCTAGGGTGAGCGGCAGGCCGAGCGGCGGCAGGGCGGGGGCGCGGGGCGCGCGGCCGCACTCGGGGGAGGCGCCGGGGCCCGCCCTCCTCCGGGGCTGAGCCGGGCGGGGGCCGGGGCCGGCGCGGGGCGGGGAGAGCCGCCTGGCCCCTCCCCTCCCCTCCGCCGCCCTCCCCAAAGTTGCCGTCTCCCCCGGGGCCGGACAGTCTTATGATCCAGCGGATCCTCCTGGGGAGGCCGGGCCGGGGAGAGGGCGCGGGCACCGAGCAGCCGGGGCAGAGGGCAGGCGCGGCGACCGGGGCCGGGCCGGGGATCCGGGCCACGACCGAGGCGGCGGCAGCGCCCTGGGCCCGCCGACCCCTCCCCTCCAGTGAGGGGAGCTGCTGCATGGGGGCGGGGGGGGCGGCCCTGCTGCGCCGAGCGGCGGCGACGGCGGCGGACCCCCCAGGCGGGCTGGGGCTGAGCCCGGGGCCGGGGCTGGGGCTCCGGGGGGACCATGCCCGGAGGCCGGCCGGCCGCAGCATGGCTCAYGGGCCTGGCGCGCTGATGCTCAAGTGCGTGGTGGTCGGCGACGGGGCGGTGGGCAAGACGTGCCTGCTCATGAGCTATGCCAACGACGCCTTCCCGGAGGAGTACRTGCCCACCGTCTTCGACCACTACGCAGGTAAGACTCGGAACTGCTGACTAAGGGGCCGCTCCCCGGGCCGGGAACTTTAGAGCAACTTTGGCGGAGCCCCCGGGCTGCCTCCCCTGAGCGCACTCCCCACCCCTCCCCCGCCGCGCCCTCCACTAGGCAGACGGCCCCACCCCCGAGGCTGTGTGTCCCACCACCCATTGCTGCAGCTCCCACCCCACTTTCTCGCCCCCTCTCTCGCCCTTGCTCCCCACACTTCCCGGTCCCCTCTGCGCCCTCCTTGACCTTCCCACAGCTGCCTCCCCTATTGCCCCAAGCCCCTGGGAGAACCGTTTGAGGGTTCCGGGTGAAACGTGTCTTTGGGACTTGGGAGCAGTGGCTGGATAGCTGGGGGCCATATCACATCCCAACTCCTGCCACTTCACAGCGAGACTTGCGCAAAGGAAAAGTGGGTGACATCTCCCGGGGAATGCCCACATGCCACCAGCTGGGTTGGGAGAGGAGGGTTCTGGTGGGGAGGGAAATTGCCCCAGAGTCCAGGTCATTGTGAGCTTCTCTCCCCACCCCCACTTCTGTCCTTGCAGTCAGCGTTACCGTGGGGGGCAAGCAGTACCTCCTGGGACTCTATGACACGGCCGGACAGGTGAGTGTCTTGGCCTCTGGCCGACAACTCCTCCTTTCCCCGGATTCTTTGTGGCTCTGAAGGGCCTTTGGAAACTGAGGTGCCTAGGTGGGAGGGTGTGTCCATCCGGATCAGGTCTTTTCTCAAGTCAGCACATTAGGAAAACAAACAAAACACGGAGACAGGCCCGTGTGAACCCCTTGACTGTGAAAGTTTTTGCCTGTGTGGGTCCTTCTGTGTGGGTCCCAACTCCTGTTGCAAAGTGGCAGTGGCCAATGGTGAAGCGCCCTTATTTTTAGTTGCAGATGACCAGGTCTCCCCCTCACAGCCTCTGTCTGGTCCCTCATTGGTGAGTGGTCTGCCTGCCGGAGGAGCCTGATTGGTGGGAAATGGCATCATCTAACATGATGGGAAGGCATTTGGTCCTGGTTATGTTTATTACAACATCATTGCACTCTGGGACTCCAGTCCCTGAAAACGTAATTTGTGGTGTCACCAGATACCACAGGGAAAAAGAAAAGAAACAACAACCAGCCAGCCACTCCCTGGGGTGGGTGTGAGGGAGAAGGGTTAGGAGTTCAGTGTGAATCTTAGAGGAAAAGCTTTTTCCCCTCAGGAGGGCCAGGTGACTTTGTTTGGGTTTTCTTTGGAGAGATTACTGTGCAGAAGGAAAATGCACACTTCTCCAGCTGCAGCCTCTGGCCAGTGTTTGTGAATCAGAAGTGGCCAGACGGTGCTCCTAAAGGAGTAAGGCCATCTCTCTCTCTCCCTTTCCCAGCTCCACCCTCTTCCCAGACCCTGTTTTGCTCTAAGGCTCAGATGATTGTGTGATGAAGTTTTGCAGAATCCAGTTCTATGATTTGACCTGAACACTCAAGCAGAAGTTTTCTGGTGTCAGGCTGACTTGAATTGGTGAGGGTATATGAGCAGCTGAAAGCCTTGAGATCTTTCAGGGTACAGTTTCCTTATCTGTAAAACGAGGTTAAAAAAAAAAAAAGACCATCCCCCCTGTAGATACTTTGTGCCATATGCCAGCTGCTGAGCCCAGCACATACTTGGTACTCAGTAAAAGAAGTGCTGTTCTTTGTAGCTTTCTATATTTGGCTTTCAGAATTGTGGTACTTAGTTGGCTTCTGTGTTAGATTCTGAAAAATGACATGGGGGAGTACCTTAATGTGGTCTTGGCTTCTAAACTGTTAAGATAGAGGAATATCTGAAAATGGAGAACTGCTGGCTGTTCAAGGTGCCAGAGGTTACCCCCTTTTACTGGCCTAACTCCACGTAACAGTTCTTGGCTTCCCAGGGCTCCTTTTAGTTGCCTACCTTGTAGTTGTTGCTCTTTCTACCTTTGTGAGAAGGTATGGAGGGCAAGAGGCAGAGCCCATTCAATCAAAGAAGACCAATTTTTAAGAAGTACAGTTAAAGGGCTGGGGTTGTAGCTCAGTGGGCAGAGCGCTTGCCTAGCATGCATGAGGCACTGAGTTCAATCCCTGGCACCACATAAAAATAGACAAATAAAATAAAGGTGTTATGTCCATCTACAACTAAAAAAATTTTAAAAAGAAGTACAATAAACAAAAGGTTGGCATGATTGGTTGAAAGAGAAATGTTTTAAAAAATTGTCTCTAATTTTAACTTCTTTCACTACCTCCCCTTCTCTTATCTCTTTTACCTGTCACTATGATCATTTTTTGACCATGTGTCCTATTCAGCTGAATATGTGTATGTCAGAGCTGTTCTGTGCACTCACAGAGCCAACTGATATTTGCAGAGTGCCTTCTGCATGTCACACTGAGGCAACCACTTGAAAATAATTACCTTATTTACTCCATGAGACAACCTCCCCTTCTGCAGATGGTGAAATGGGCTCAGAGAAGCTGAGTTGCTTGCCTAAGGTCACATAGCTACTGTGAGGTGCTGCAAGGATTAAGATGTGTGTCTGAATCCACACCCATTTGAGGTGGTTATGCACACAGGAAGTCATGAGAAGTGCTGAGATGTGCCCCCCCTCCCCACCCTTGGTTGGTCAGATTGTGTGCATAGAAATGATACCTGGAGTCTTTACAGCCATTCTCAGAATGGGGGCTGTATGCCATCTTTACAGACCAGAGAACTTAAATCCAAATGAATACCCCAAATGAAGCCCACTCAGAGAACCAGGGATTCCCATATGTCATTCTAATTGCTATTTCCAGCAGAGGATTATAATATGTATACTAAGATCAACATAAGGCTTGTATAGTACTGTTTTTACTCAGTTGTGGGACACCATTCTGTTGGCCCAAATAAATGTTAGGCCCCTTCGTGTTTCTCCTAGTGGCTAAGACTTTGTTTTTGGATCAAAGTTAGTGATACTTGATCTCTCTAACTAATAAGCAAATGATAAGACCAAGTGATAAGTGCCTTCTGTGCACCTAATATTATGTTAAGCATCTGGGGAATGCAAAAGGGTAAATTTAAGATAGGGATCTGATGTCAGCATAGGTGGAAGTATCTGAATCACATGCCTGTTCATATGTCTTATGTAGGAGATTTCTGTATTATGCTTGATCATAAAGACCCCATGCCTCTATGAATCACTATCAGAAGAATCTTATATAATAATTATAAATAAATACGTATACAAACATAGGCGCGCGCACAACACACACACACACACACACACACACACACACACACACACATATATAGAAAAATTTAAGCCCAGTAGGCAGCAGAGGAAAGCCCATGGGATTTGAAACCACCAGTCATGTGATTCTAGCTGTTATTTACCTTCTTTGTAAGAGTAAACACATGGATAGTGAGACTCTAAGCTATCTTAAATTCTTTAATGTATATAAAAGTAGTTGACACTGTTCTTCATGAACAATAGATGTATAAAAGGTAGTACAAGAAATTATTGTGCTCTACTATGGGCAATTTAATGGGGGAAGGGGCCACAGGTCGAAGAGGACAGTGCATTATGCCTGGAGTTGATAGAAAGTCCACTAGAAGGCCAGGTCTAGAATCTTTTCAGTGGAGGTATGGAGCCTCACCCCTGTTTATAGAAGAGAAATGTCCAAGAGTTCTATGTGGAATTTGAGAAGTGGCATATGTAGGCTTTAGTTGGCTTATTTTTCAGGGAGGTGAGATGGGATGAGGAGGAAGCTCAGAGCACTGGAAAGCAGTTGCTTTCTCTCCAAAATGTTGCTTATGCACATGGGCACTTGCTGGACCTGTTTAAATAACCGCAGCACCTCCCCCAGGTTGGCCCCTCTTGTCTTCTTGCTTCCTCTTGGCCTTCTCAGTGACTCCAGTCAAGTTCAAAGCTACAACCCAATTTACATATTTGGAATCTACCAATCAAGGAATGATCGAAGTAAGGTGAACTTTTTTCTTCTAGAGAAAACTGCTTTTCATTTGACCTCTGCTGCTGTGGGGGGGGGGGGGGGGGGGGGGGGGGGAGGAGAGAGGGAGGGAGGGAGGGAGAGAGAGAGAGAGAGAGAGAGAGAGAGAGAGAGAGAGATTGAGAAACTGAGAAATATAAAGTGTGTTGGATATCAGTGCCCATCATTTGCTCTGCCTAGGGACATTCCTCATCGTCCCAACTTACTCACTAGCATCACTGCCAAAGGGAAGTCCTCCCTGCTCTTGGCTGAGCCCATGGGTGGTCCAAAGGCAGTGTGACATTTGGACTGCCAAGCGTTTTGGAGTGAAAGTTAAGGGAAGCCCCTCCCTCCTCACTGGGAGCCTTGCAGGGAAGTCTGGCTTTGGGCCAAGGTCTCCGTGGAGTTTCTCCTTTTTTGCCCAGTGTTTGGAACTTTGGCAGGGGCTCTGCTCTATCCCCACTGTCTTCTCGGGGACTGAGAGGTGGGATTTTCCCTTCTGCCTCTGCCCTACTTGGAACAAGGGGGAAATGGGAAGAATTCCTTCTATCCAGACAAGCCAGTGGGGAGCTGCTTGGCAAGCTGCTCTCCAGCTTGGGCTCCAGGCTGATCTCTTAATCCTTGGCAGGAAGGTAGAACTTGATACCCTGAAGAGAGAAGGACTGAGGTCCAATTTATCCCAGGTCCAAGAATACCCTTACTTAGGAGGATGTGTGTTAGGCTGAGTGTGGGATCCCTAGAATTCCAGCTGTAGCCACTTGTCTCGATTTGTGGAATTCCATTTGTAAGCCTGTGGACGAGTTTTTTCTATGTCTCTTAATTTAAACACACAGATTCAGGGATGCATACATGAGAGCTATAAATATCCTTTACTCCAGTGTCCCCTGGGATAGCTTTTTCAATGAAAGGGGAGATTTGTTTCACACATGACATAGCCCAGCAGCTGTGGCTGCCCTGCCAGCCCTCTGGGTGCCCAGGGAGGCACTTCCCCTAGAGAAAGGAATCTCCACTGAGGGACCCTCGACAGGCCCCTCCTGCATCTCCTGGGGCAGTACCCAAGGGCCCAGCATCATGAGAAAAGGGCAGGAGGAAGAATGAGGGTATTGCCACTCATCAGGTTCCTTTTCCCTTCAAGTCAAACATGCTCACAATATCCTTCAGGTAGACTTTTTCCTGTGGAGGAAACAGTAAATGAGTGGGCTTATAAAACATCAGTCAGAGATGTGATTCTGGAAAAGGTATTCCTTTTTAGATAAGGCCTGCATGGAACACAGGTAGGACTTAGGAAATGCCTACTTGTGTCATCAGGCCCCAGGTGCCTGCAACCCCACAATGCATTCCTGAGGGACCCAGAGAACAGAGTCTGGGAGGAGCCACAGGGTTGGTTCCAGACATTAGCCACAACAGGTGAGATGCTGGTACTAAGCATCCTGGTTTCCCTTAGTAACCTACTGTAGATTTCTCATCGTGTATTTTGCTAACCTTTTTAGAAGCTATTAATATCTCCAGGCTGTACCACACGGGAATGCTAGTTTCCTCATTTCCTCGTTTCCTTGTCTGAGTTGGGAAGGTGGATGGCCTTTTTCAATTCCAAAGCCTTTGCTGATCAGAATGCTCTGTGTTCCCTTCTTGGGACTCTGATATCAGTTTGGGATG